ATATATATATATATATATGCGTGATTTTACGCAATACTTACTAATGATATATGGACACAATCTATTTCTTTGAAACAAGGAATAAAACACTTTTTCTTTGTTTCAAACTCCCCAACTCCCCAAAAAAAAAACACAAAAAATTCTCCAGGATAGAGTTCGTCTTTCTCTGCCTCCTGTCTTCCGCCGGCCGCGATCCCCAAACGCTGCGTGGAGCGACACAGCCGTGGAGGCGGCGGAGGAGCGATGGTGACCTCGCCGGTGGTGAACACGTACCCACTCTCGAACTACACCTTCGGGACGAAGGAGCCTAAAATGGAGAAGGACACCTCCGTCGCCGATCGCCTTGCCCGCATGAAGGTCAAGTAAGTCGGCTTCCATCTCCATCCCCATCCCAATCCCCATTTGTATCGTCTCCCTGGAACCCTGCCGAAACCCCGGTGTTTACCCTTCCTCTCCTGGTGTTAAACCCTAGTAATATATGACTTGTGGTTCGTGCGCCTTCTTTGTGGATCTACGCTGTAAGATTTGGCGTGAAACCCTAGAACCTCTAATTATGATGTAGAATGATGCAGAGTCCATTATTGGGTCCAATTTTCTGCGCCTTCTGTCGTTGGGGATTCGTACTCTCATGTCGAGACTTGGAGGCTAATATACTCATTTTTGTGGTAAATGTATCATCTGTTCGAAAATTTCATCTTTTCTCTTGTGCAAGTGTAAGAGTTTTTGGCATAATCATCTTAAGAGGAATTCGAACTACTTTCCTTGTTGACTTTCTGACAACACACGTTCTGAATTTTCTACTAACGGTTGGAAGTCTGTGTTGTGGGTAATGTATAATTTTTATTCTTGAGAACCATCATGATTATTTTCTTTTATCAGGTTTATTTTGCAGCTCTGTCTATCCATTATTATTTGCATTGTTTTAGCTCAAACCTGCTTGTTGATATTGACTTTGAGATCTGTAGCAGGTTTTATAGCCAAAAGGCCTTAGGAATTACTAACTTTTGCAAAGTGATGTTCATCCTTCAAATGATTTCTCTTAATTCTTTTTGTTAGCTGCAAATTGTAGATCGCTTTGAGGACCTAATATATGATACCAGGTCATGCAATTTTTTGTAATTTTAAAATTAAGGATATGAAAGTTCCAGTGATTTTGGTTCTAACAAGTAGTAACTTAGTAACAAAGAAAAAATGAATAAAGAAGGCATCAAAAGTCAGTGGACAAATATTGATTGAATTGTCAACTGCCACAAAGGCAATTTGCATAACTTGATCTTCTTTATAGTTTTATGGTTTTTTGATTGTACATTGTGTATTGATAAACCGTAACTTCTATTTCTCATATAGAACTGAGTACCAAATTGTCCATAATTTGGTCTCTGGGGCCAATGTATAACTGATAGTTAGTGATAATACAACTACATTTCTGTTACTTCTTTCTAAATTTGGAACCTACTCTAGGTGAAGGTTGTCTTAACTTAGCATATCTCATGCTCTTATTGAAGATCTCTAATGCAAAGTATACTTTATTGTTTGACTGCTTCCTTTTCTTTTGATTCAGCTATATGAAAGAAGGCATGCGGACAAGTGTTGAAGGAATTTTATTGGTAAGGATCTCCATGGTATACCATTAACGTATAAGCTTTTAGTTATAATTTGTTATCTCAGGTTTGCAGATGATAAAAAAATGTAACTTAGCGTTCACATTTTTCTTTGGAAGAGAGTTAATTATTTTGGAATGTTAAAACATGCGGTTGTTGCAGTGAATTTGTTTGTTATCCTATGATCCCTTGATTCTGATGTAATTTTCTTAGCTGCTAATGTGTACTGGATTTGGCACCGTTTCAAGACAACTGATAGGTGGCCAGTGATGAATCATTGTTAACTTTTTTGATGCAATGTTATTGATATTGGTTTGTGCTTTATAGCAAACCATACATTCATAGGATAAAAACAGGTAATGTACTTGACATTGGAGGTTTCAGTTTCTTTTTTTCTGCAAAATAAAATTTATAAGCTTAAACCAGTCTGGAACAAAAAGGTCCCTCTTTATCAGAGGGGAAGATATTACAAAATTTGTTTGGCAAGTTTCCTTACCACAAAAAGGTAGTAGCAGTGAATCTTGCAAAAGCAGCGGCCGAATGAGCCGCTCTATTCACCTCCCTGTGATTGTGAGTGATTTGTGTCGCTTCAAAATTTCTCAATAGTTGCTGAATGCTATTGTAGTCTGTCTTCAATCTCCATATAGGATTTTTCTGTTTGTTAAGGGTGTCCACCAGCAGGGTGGAATCACTTCCAACCAAAATGTGAGTCACTCCTCCTTTGATGGCTGCCTGAATGCCCTCTAGTACCACAAGAACCTCACAAGACTCCCCATCCCCTTTATCAACGTACCTGCAACTGGCAAGTGAACAATTACCAAAAGTGTCACTAATAACAAAACCACTGCCCCCTTCTTTGTTTTTCTCAGACCAAGATCCATCTGAATTAAGTTTGAACCATCCTTGGCTTGGTTTCTCCCATCTAATGAAAATTTGAGCTGATCATTATATGCAGACAGTAATTCTTCAGCATAAGAGGCTGTGAGTGCTAAGTCTTTGTGGCAGACAACACTGGGAGTGATCTTGGCATTGTCAACTCTAGCCTCATTCCATGCTTTCCATAAGGCCCACAAGCAATTCGCCATACTGGCCCTCAAGATCAGATAGTTCACTTGATTGTCCTCCTCTGCTTCCTTGAGCCATAGCCCAAGGTGCCCACTGATCCATGTACTTGAATTGAATGTTCAAAAGGGACTGAACAATCTCACAAACATCCCTAGCCATCTTACAATCAGAGAAGATATGTTTCGTAGAATCATTTTGATCATCTCTTCCACAAAGCCAACAATTGTGAGCAGTGGTCAAGTTAAGGGCAGCCAATCTTTCTAAAGTAGGTAATCGTAGAGACCCTATGGGCAGTTGGCAGCTTCCAAAGGTTCCCCTGCTACCTCACAAAGTTTCAGTTCTGTTAGTTCCTCCTTTGAGAAATCTGTCGGCAGACTTGACAGTAGCTTTTCCACTCTCAGTGTGTCTCCAAATCCAATTGTCATCACTAGACTGGTGAGATATATCAATTTTCCAGATCTTCTGGGAGATAGAAGTGACAAAATTGTTAATAAGAAGCTCCATGTTCCAGACAGTTGATGGTTAGGTCTTTTACAGTGGACAAATTTGAGATTAGGATTAATGTAGGTTGGAGGTTTCAGTTTTAATGTTAAAAGACACAACAGAACTATAACATCAAACATTTGTCCTTTATATACAGGGATATCATAGTTGTGAAATAAAAAAAAGATTATTTATAGCCTTGACAAGAAGATGCATGTAACTTTTATGAATAATGAGTTGCCTATATTTTGGAGTTATGACAGAAAACATATTGCAAATATGGACAATGAAGTAATTTGATATTATGATTTTAAAATTGAAAAATTACAATTGTTGGGTTCTCCTGAGGGGTTTTGAACAGTGATTTAAAAAGGCGCTCGGGCGCTCGCCTAGGCGCTCGGGCGAGGCGAGGCGAGGCCCGAGCGCCTCGCTAATCTCCCAGGCGGCGCGCTTCAAACAGGTGCCGCCTGGGCGCTCGCTCGAGCCCAGGCACTGGGCGCTTCGGGCGAGCGCCTGGGTTAACCAAGGCGACCGAACCAGGATTTTAGGTCTGGTTCGGTCTTGGTTCGGTCTCTGATGGTTAGTTGGTCCAATCGAACCAACTAAAATCGATATAAGTGAGAACCCAACCCTAACCCTCGCCGCTGCTGTTGCCGCTCCCGATTTTGATCCCGATCTCGTTGCTCGCCGCTGTTGCTGCTCGCAAACGCTTCCGTTGTCGCCGCTCGCCGCTGTTGCCGCTCGCAAACGCTGCCTCTGTCGCTGCTCGCGCCTCCCGCTGCTCGCCGCTGTCGCTGCTCACAAACGCTGCCTCTGTCGCCGCTCGCGCCTCCCACCGCTATTATTGTTTGGCCTCCTCCAATACTTAGCTGGATTGAAATACTATTATTGTTTCTAAATTTATTGTCTTTATGATATCCAAAATAGTTTGGAAAATATTCTATTATTTCTAGTCATTGATATCATAGATTGATGTGAAATGTATTGTTGGTTATCTTAGCTAGGATTGAGCCAGTTCCATATTAGATCTATGATGTGGAATGCATGTTAGGTCGAAGCCATAGGCAAATCGACTTGCTCTAACAAGTTCTCTGAAGTGGAATGCATGTTAGCTCTAAAAGGACAAGTTTGATTGTCATTGGTCACTATTCCTTTCTTCATCTCTTTCTCCTTTTCCTATTTTTGTTGATTCAATTCCTTGATTTTTAATATGCTTTTCATAAATTCAATAATCATATCTTTCTTTGCCCTCCCAATCTCAAGGAATGATTTTCTAGCTTGGCCGTAGCTCAACTATTCACTTGGTAATTCTCTTTGATGTTTCATTCAATCTTTTAAGTGAAAGTGTAAGAGCCTATAAACTAATTTTGATTTTCTTTTCCATTTTTCTAACTGATATGTCGAAATATAGTGCAAGTCTAAGCCCAACTTAGTTGAAGTATACTAACTTAAAACATTCTGGATTGGTTAATCACTACTTCTTATTTTAGATCATTGCTTTTCCACTTGATGAGTTACCCTTTTTGCATTGAATTTACTCTTCTTGTCCTACCATTTATCATGTCATGGCACAAAGTTACACAATGTAACAATGAATTATAAATTTTAAACAAAACATAATTTGTATATGTCTATATTCATATACGTGCTTCTACACATCTTGGGATAAGTACATGCCTAATGTACTTTTTACATGATGGAGTTTAACCAAAGCATAAACCTCCTGTAGGGATATAGGACTAGGCTTATGTTAAGGTTTGTCTGAATGATGAGTCTTGAATGTGGATTAGGTTCTTAGCCTTCAAGTTGCTCATTGCTTTTAGGGTTAAGATTCATTTTAGCCCTTGTAGTTTTGAAAATGGACCACTTAAGCCCTTATGGTTTACTCGTGTCTAAAATAACCCCCTATATTTTTAAAATATAGCATATAAGCCCCTCCTATCAAGTTTGAGTTAACAGACGTTAGAGTTTACTTACGTGGCATGTTGACTCATAATAAACTATTAATATAATGACACATATAATTTAAATAAAAAAAGGGGTCATTTTCACCTTTTGTGGTTTTGACCATAGACCACTTAAACCTTTAATGTTTTGTTTGTGTCTAATATAACCATTACATTTTTAAAAACGTAGCATATAAGCTCCTCTCGTCAAGTCTAAGTTGACAGACATTATAATTTGCTTACATGACATGTTGACTCACAATAAATCATTAATATAATGATATGTGTAATTTAAGTTTAAAAAAATGTCTATCTTATCGAGGAAGAGGAAGCGGCGGAGGTTGTAGCGGTGGACGAAGGCGAAGAAGCAGAGGTAGGAGAGGCCGAAGGCAGAAGTGATGGAGAGCTGGATCACCATGTTGTAGGCACGATGGGTGGGGGTGTAGGAGAGGACGAAGTGGAAGGCAGTGGGGACGAAGACGCCCAAGAGGAGGAAGAGGGACCAAGAGACCATTGCATGCCTAACTGTCACGGACAAACTTTGAAACA